GACGTCAGTTGGATTTATGTGTATAGGGGTGTTTACAAAATAAAGGAAACTGAAAGCAATCTAAGATGGCATTGGCGGAAGTCAACAAAAGGCGAAATGCCAAAGATCAGTATTTAAAACCAATGCAATCACATGTGTCTGAAGCATGCACTGGAAGGGGATGTTTTGGCAGTATTACCCACCGTATTTGGAAAAAATTTAATTTTTTCCACATGCCACACGCTTGTGGTAAATTTCTAAGCCTTTTTTTCGTTTTTTTTTAATTTTTGCAGTCAAACTTACATGCAGTCGTTGCGTCATTTGAATTTGTCATATAGCTTTGACCTTGACTTTAGCATTTCTGTTCGTGAGATTTTTTGACGTGTGAAAAGTGTTTAAAAAAGGATTAACAATATTATTGAATTGGTGTCATTTCAAGAAATGAGTATATGATTTATTTGCACATGATAAAAGAACAGATTTTGTGTGTGTAAAGAATTGGGGACTGGCGTTCAGAAATACAGGATTGGAAGTGTAGTAACTTTTTTTTATTTTTTATTATTTTTAAGAAAAAAGAACTATAGACATTGCGATTTGAAAATGAGACTTGGAGGTTCATAACGGAGATAATCTGAGGAAGAATATGTTCAATCGAATGACAGCGCGAAAAACATACGATTTCTCTTTCCTTCTCATAGTAATTCCCGGCTGAAGTTCAGAACTACTCAGTAAGATATCAGTGTTGTATAGGAAAAGACTTGTGGAAAATTCCACTGCAGAAAAACTGCACCTTTAAATACGTAACATAGGGCTTTTCGGCATTATGATTTTATATTATACGTCCCTGACTATGCGCATGCATGAACATAAAATCTGTCAAAGTTAGCCGAAAATCGGCTAAAACGGTCACTGTGATGTGGACAGGATTTGACCTCGGCAACACGTGCTCTGCAGGCTGACTGACATACGGTGTATGTGCGTAACGTACGTGTATGTACATATATACCTTCTGTGCATGTTTTAGAGCAGAGGTATTGTCAACCTGAAGTTTTAAGCGTGCCCAGGGCATGTCCGAGTTCGCTTATTGCCTCGAAGCTTTGAAATGTTTTAGACCTACCCTTAAATCGACAATTAAAGTAAAAACTAACATAAAAACTGCCATGGTTGATTTTTCTGGAATTTTCAAATGAAAAATGGTCTTTTTATTATAACTTCCGGTCTGATAACGTCGTTCGCCTAAAACTTCGCACACGTCTTAAGTGGGTCAAGGTCATCATATGCACCAATATTTAGGCGATTCCGACAAACTTCGTTACAGACATCTACTCAAAATACATTTTTGCAAATTTTCAACCTGTCACTAGAGGGCGCTCGAAGATTGCATGACGTCATTTGTAAATGATTTGGAGAATACTTTTAGCCAAGAGACTAACACCGTTGAAAGCAAGTTCATATCTATAACCATTTTCAAATAATAAGCCACTTCCGGTTTTGGCCTTTTTCGACCGGAAGCAAGGGTCACGTGATTTCACGCACACTGAATGAAATAAAGACCTCAACCTACTCTACCACTTGCCGGTAACAGAATGCTGCGGACGCGTACGGTTGATTTCTTATGCATTTTTTAATATTAAAAGTGTCACAATTTAATTGCCTATAAATACACACCGGATGACGTCATCATGACGTCATCATTACACAATGTTGTTTGAATTAGGGTCTTTGCTTGGACAAAGATTGATGCAAATGAATAACTGGCAAAGAGTCAAAAATGGAGTAGTGAGTAGTGATTTCATCTCCCCTCCAAAGAAGCTTTTTTGTTTGTACACAGTTCTATGGAGTATTGATTTTCCTGGCGTGTAGGACTTGTGTAGTGCCTTTTTGTACACGTGTCTATGGAGTAGTGAGTAGTGATTTCATCTCCCCTCCAAAGAAGCTTTTTTAGTTTGTACACAGTTCTATGGAGTAGTTATTTTCCTGGCGTGTAGGACTTGTGTAGTGACTTTTTGTACTCGTGTCTATGGAGTAGTGAGTAGTGATTTCATAATCCCTCCAAAGAAGCTTTTTTGGTTTGTACACAGTTCTATGGAGTATTGATTTTCCTGGCGTGTAGGACTTGTGTAGTGACTTTTTGTACACGTGTCTATGGAGTAGTGAGTAGTGATTTCATCTCCCCTCCAAAGAAGCTTTTTTAGTTTGTACACAGTTCTATGGAGTAGTTATTTTCCTGCCGCGTAGGACTTGTGTAGTGCCTTTTTGTACACGTGTCTATGGAGTAGTGAGTAGTGATTTCATCTCCCCTCCAAAGAAGCTTTTTTGGTTTGTACACAGTTCTATGGAGTAGTGATTTTCCTGCCGTGTAGGACTTGTGTAGTGACTTTTTGTACACGTGTCTATGGAGTAGTGAGTAGTGATTTCATCTCCCCTCCAAAGAAGTTTTTTTTAGTTTGTACACAGTTCTATGGAGTAGTGATTTTCCTGCCGTGTAGGACTTGTGTAGTGACTTTTTGTACACGTGTCTATGGAGTAGTGAGTAGTGATTTCATCTCCCCTCCAAAGAAGTTTTTTTAGTTTGTACACAGTTCTATGGAGTAGTGATTTTCCTGGCGTGTAGGACTTGTGTAGTGCCTTTTTGTACACGTGTCTATGGAGTAGTGAGTAGTGATTTCATCTCCCCTCCAAAGAAGTTTTTTTAGTTTGTACACAGTTCTATGGAGTAGTGATTTTCCTGGCGTGTAGGACTTGTGTAGTGCCTTTTTGTACACGTGTCTATGGAGTAGTGAGTAGTGATTTCATCTCCCCTCCAAAGAAGCTTTTTTAGTTTGTACACAGTTCTATGGAGTAGTGATTTTCCTGGCGTGTAGGACTTGTGTAGTGCCTTTTTGTACACGTGTCTATGGAGTAGTGAGTAGTGATTTCATCTCCCCTCCAAAGAAGCTTTTTTAGTTTGTACACAGTTCTACGGAGTAGTTATTTTCCTGCCGCGTAGGACTTGTGTAGTGCCTTTTTGTACACGTGTCTATGGAGTAGTGAGTAGTGATTTCATCTCCCCTCCAAAGAAGCTTTTTTGGTTTGTACACAGTTCTATGGAGTATTGATTTTCCTGGCGTGTAGGACTTGTGTATTGCCTTTTTGTACACGTGTCTATGGAGTAGTGAGTAGTGATTTCATCTCCCCTCCAAAGAAGCTTTTTTAGTTTGTACACAGTTCTATGGAGTAGTTATTTTCCTGGCGTATAGGACTTGTGTAGTGACTTTTTGTACTCGTGTCTATGGAGTAGTGAGTAGTGATTTCATAATCCCTCCAAAGAAGCTTTTTTGGTTTGTACACAGTTCTATGGAGTATTGATTTTCCTGGCGTGTAGGACTTGTGTAGTGACTTTTTGTACACGTGTCTATGGAGTAGTGAGTAGTGATTTCATCTCCCCTCCAAAGAAGCTTTTTTAGTTTGTACACAGTTCCATGGAGTAGTGATATACTCATGGTCCATGGTGTCGGTACAGAGAGCGTATCGTTGGAAATGTACGAGTAGTGCTTGTAGCTCTACTCAACACATGTGGCGAAATGTTTCACCCCATATCTTGCATGGTATCACATCGTGTGAATGATGTCATTAAAAGAGTGTGGGTACCTGACATACATTGTCTCTTCTGTAATGACGTACAGTTGAGTGCTAAAAATTTGAACTAGTTAATTGTATTTACATTAATCTCCGTCTTTTTTACGTTTCCCAGTGGAATTTCACATCACTTATTTTGGCTCGAACAAACGTTTTTGATGGTCACAATTTATAGCAGTCGCTGTAATGAATTTACCAGGAACTGCACGTTTATAAATATAAAATATGCAAAGTATGGCCCCTTGAGGGCGCCAGACTTACATGAAGTGTTTATTTTTGGAAGGGTAGAGTCACTGCGTCACCGTCACAAGAACGTGACTCATTGAATCAACGAAAACCTCATTGTTGGACGTCTTTTTTCGAACACAAATCACTGACGTACAACAAGAAGAGGTCCTAAGGTAGCAGACCAGTAAATAAACTTCCATAGACCCCAATGGTAAATGCTCCTACTTCAAAAATTCGGGAAAATACTCACAACTCTCCAAGGTGTTCGAGACACACATCAAATTAAAGCTTATTTCATCATCTTTCATTTTCTTTTCAATTTTCGGGGGGTCAACTGATGACTTTTAGGAGAAATTTCCATCTGAAGATGATCACCCCTGAAAAAAGTCCTGAAGCCCATCGCCATTTTGAAAAACGATGCCTACACTCCATTGCAAAATAGAGCGCTTTTAGGGTCCAAATTACATCCAAATTACACAGAACTGCAAGCTCCCAGTCCTGTGCACAGCTTCCACCCATATTTTTTACAAACCCTCAAGTTCATGGCCCACAGCATGCTCAAATACTGAAGATTTTGAGGGCATGCAAATCGTGATTTGGCCGGCGTAGGCAATTTCGGACCGATTTACTTGTCTGCACCCTTAAACATGACTCATAAATTCTCACTCACTTGCAGAAACCAAAATGAGTTTTCATTCTGGCCTATACTGTCACTTCCGTTAGATTTTGTAAAGTTTTACTTCACCGTTTTTACCAAGATATTTGGTAAATTTACATACCTATTTTCAAAGTAAAATTTTACCAAACAGTTGTGATAAACCTTACCCAACACCTGTTATGTAAAATTTTACCTAACTATAGCAGATTCGTATAGCACATTGCAATTATGTAAAATTTTACACAACTTGTGTATTTTTTTCTGTGTGTGATGCACGTGATTGCAATTTCTCGTCAAGTACGCCTGATAAGCGAGGCTCAGGAGAATAGTGCACCGACCGGCCTTCCTCTATGATGCAACTATATATAGTTGCAACTTATCAGGGCGTACTTGACGAGAAATTGCAATCACGTGCATCGAATTTATTCTTCCTTTAGAAAAAAGACAGATGCTGTCTAGGGCTAAGCAATCGATAGTGAGTAATTTACGAGATATGTTGCTCAGTTGTGGACAAAAACAAAATGAGATTTCATTCTGGCATACTGTCACTTCAGTGGAGCTCCAGCGATAGCGAGCAGGCGATTGTTCCACTGTTTTACGATTTGATCAGTATCACCACTTCGGTTGACGTTTGGCTGAGACTGACACAGTTTTCACACAAGACAAAAATTTGAAGAAAGCATCTTACTAGCAAAAATGGCTACGTTTGCTCCACAACTGCAAGTCCCTTGCTTTCTTCAATGTGTGATTCTTGCCTTTGCTGCTGTAGCGGTCACTACCATATCTGCAATTGGGACGTTGTCTTGTCATCAGGTGAAAAGTGAATTCCTACCAGCGGTTAACAGACGCCTGCAGGTAGCTTCATACCGACAAACTATTGCAAAATCTCACATGTTGTGTGTGATGAGAGATTGCCATGCTGATTCTGGCTGCTTGTCGGTCAACTATCTCCCAATCCGTCACATCTGTCACCTCAATAACAGCTCTAGAGAGGAGCATCCTGGAAGCTTTGGCATCTCGTGCGACAGCGTGTACTTCGATGCGGATGCACTAACACCTTCCTTCTCTGTGTGGAGGTGTTACTGTAGCTGCAAGGAGTTTCTGCAAGCGGGCCATGATGCGAGCGGTATCTACACCATATTCCCGGCTAGTGTCCGCAATGATGGCTTACAGGTCTACTGTGACATGGAGACTGACGCTGGAGGATGGATCGTCATCCAGAGGCGTCAAGATGGCAGCGTTAACTTCTACCGCGACTGGGCTGACTACCAGGTAGGCTTTGGCAACTTGTCTGGTGAGTTCTGGATCGGAAACGACATCTTACGCAATTTGACGGCCTTGGGAACATGGCAGCTTCGGGTCGATCTGGTGGACTGGGACAATGTAATGACGTACGCGGAATATGGAGAGTTTGGAGTTTCTGGAACCAACTATCAGCTCACGGTCGGCTCTTATAATGACATCAGCACGGCAAAAGACGCACTGACAAGCAAGCACAATGGCATGTTGTTCTCAACCTGGGATAAGGACAATGACAATTATCAAGCCGGTAGCTGTGCCCAACGCAACTACGGGGCGTGGTGGTATGACTATTGCTACCTGTCAAATCTTAATGGTAAGTTTTATGCTAAGCGTGCTGCGTTCAGTGGTCTCCCATGGACTGACCAGCAGGGGCAATATGAATGGTTCAAAAAAGCGAGCATGAAAATTCGTCAATATCCATAAAGGCAAAACAAAATTGAAATCGAACCATACGCCATTTATTATAGTCTGCATCAGTTATTGAATCATTTCGAATTATGTAATTAATTCTTCAACTGGATCATTTTGATGCTCGAAAGTACTTGGCGAAGATAGTTCACATTGTTCGTACATAATCACGTTGCAGTCACATGCGCACTGCACGAACAAATTATTTCATTCCTAAAAACTATCAAATTTGCATTTCAGTAAATTTGCATTTGCATTTCAGTATTTTTGAAGGTTACATGCGGTTACTTTTAAAGGCACGTAGGTGCATTTGTATTACTCTGAAACGTACCTACCGATTTAACGAGAAAAAAATCGCTCCCTCAAATTGAAGATAGGACTGGTACCAAATACGATGTGAAATTATTCCACATGAACTGGTATCATTCGGAAGAAAACAACTATTTAACTGGTTTAAGAAAATGTGCTCGCAGGCACATGTTTTTACATGCATTTGCAACGAAATTTAGTTGCCATACCCCAATAATTGTGAATTCTTTTTCTCTGATTTCTCAAATTGTTTAGTATCCACTAACAAGTTAGTGGCAATGCACCCGTCTTAAGATTTTGAGAGATTTTGTTGCTTCAAATGAAACAAAAAATTCCACCAAAAGCAAATGTACTATAATTTTAAATCTTTAATTTTGTTGGAGTAATCGCTGATGGATGAATGTTAAAGTTAAAATTGTATCGCGTACTGAAACGTACAAAAATGCTGAATTTCAGCACTAAGGGTTCGGACAAATTTGAGAATATTTAAGATTAATTATCATTATCATAACTTTTAAATAAGAGATTTACTGGAGCGGGGTTTGAACCTAGCTGCGACCTCCGGATTGCCGTTCCGGTGCTCTACCAACTGAACTATCCATGCAGCCCTATGTCGGCGGCTCCTCATTTTATCATATGTCTTTGTTCATAATTTATTAGTTGAACAAATAAAGTTAGCGCGGAGTTGGATTTGAACCTCTACCAGTTAATCGACCGGTCGCAAGTTCTAATTCCGCTACAGTCAATGTATTTGGTCAGCGTTATAATTACTCTATGATGGCTTCTTACGCACCTAGTTAGTGTCCCTTTTTTCTTTTTTCTTTTTAAATTTTAACTAACCTAATTGTTTGATTTTGGTACACTTTTTTGGGACCGCAAAATTAGCGTTGATTTGGCCGGTGTGAAATTGTGTCAGCTGTTTTTTTTTATTTCATAATCTTATTATTATTTAAACACTTTATGCACTTTGTGTGAAATAATTAAGCTCACCATTTGTCGAGATCAGTGATAGATTAATGCCATACATTGTTGAAATTATAACGTGCACTGAAAGTTAGAAAAATAATGCTAAATATCTTTTACCAACAGAGTTTAGGGAACGATAGCAACAAAGACACTAACTTAGTTATTATTATAGCTATTATTGAACGATTAGGGCGACACACCTTTTGCTCTAATAGGGCGACACACCTTATTAGGGCAACACATAATGTGTCGCCCTATAAACCGCAAAACTTATTTGTGACCGCAAAACTAGCGTTGATTTGACCGGTGTGAAATGTGTCAGCTGTAATTTTTCATAATCTTTATTATTATTAAAACACTTTATGCACTTTGTGTGAAATCATTAAGCTCACCTTTTGTCGAAATCAGTGATATATTAATGTCATATAAATAGTTCAAGTTATAACGCGCACTGAAAGTTAAGAAAATAATACTAAATATATTTTATTAACAGAATTTAGAGAACGATATCAACAAAGACACTAACCTAGTTATTATTATAGTTATTATTGAACGAAGAAACTGATAGGAGCGTTTATCGAACCTGTAACCGCCGGAATTTAGCACTCCGAATTACCGGTAAGGTAATGTGTAGGTTGCGGATTCAACTCCCTCTCAAGTCAATCTTTTGCCCGACTTTAGTGCTATATTTTGTATGCACCTAGTCGGACGCCCTTTATGGCTTATCTGATTATGACTTTGAAACTTTCTATTAGCGTTTATATGTTCGGTGTAAAGAGCTTGCATGTCAGCTTTAATTCAATTTTGCAGTCATTTTCAATATTTACGTTATGCACCTATGTGTTACCAAAAGAGGCACTTATCTATTTAAGCGTTGATTTGTTGATGCGACAGCTCTAATTTTATTCTCATTATCGTATTTATGAAACCCTTCGTGTGTTGTTATGTAAACAATTCAGCTTACCTTTCAGTTACAGAAAAAAACAAGTGTGGTGTAGCCTTCACCAAGGCTGTCAAGCTTGTTCTCCAAGTAAGCTTGTTCCCAATACTGTACAGCTAAGGCTGATTAATTTTGTCCGGTATCCCTGTACATGTAGTTGTACTATTGGCACACCGCCACGCACACTACCGGTACTAGCGCCAGCCTTAACGAACCCCTTGGTTGTGCTTCTGCACGTACATGTACCTGTGCAGGCAAAGCACAAGCAGAAGAATTTCAGGGGACCGTTGAGGCTAGTGTGCGCTGCGTTGAGCCTTGGACTAAAGCTGTACAGGTACGGAGTGCGGTAGCGGGAACAACCTCGTCCGGGTAACAAGCTTGACAGCCTTGGTCAAGGCTACGTGTGGTGTCACGATTATTCGGTTTTTGTTAGATTTACAAAGAGCGTGTCCGAACTACCGGGCTGTGGCTTGAAATTACACCTGTCCATGGTTGTAATTTGCAGCCGCAGCCACGTATAATTCGGCACGACCTATTTATCATATCATGCACATTATCTTTCTACATTTATCTTTTTTTTAATATACATGTATATGATAAGCCTATTGCTTCATCTGGTAAGATGAAGTGAACGATGAAAATGTCATTTGGTGTGTTGACGAAAATGATACATACTTGCTCGCTGCTTGACGTAATGCGCCTGTCAAATGCCCCCCCCCCCCCCCCCCCCCCACTGCCCCACGGTCCTATGTTGGGACTTAGTCACGTTTTTCAAGACCCAGGGTGAGGATTTTGGTCACTCAAAATACATTGTGCCCGAGGGGTGTTGATTTTGTAACTTCAAAAGTGACAGCCCCCACGTGTTGGGTGTGGCAGTCCCTGGTGGGGGAGCAGTGGGGTAAACTTTTATACCCGCAAAGTGGAAAATATGTGTTTTTCGAGATACTAGTGATTTCAGTTGACGATGTTTTGAAACGGTGGTCTGAATATCGTTTTAGCCGCAAAAGTCATATTTTGTTGCATTGTCTGAAAGCTGGGATCTTGAATGGCACGTTTATGTATGATTTTTATTGAACAAAATAGTTATTAATGAGTAATCAAACTAATTCACCATAAGTACACTTCCTGAAAACTCAAAAATCAGATAAGAACGCTATGTTCGAGTTTTCGCGAAGTGACGTTAAGCATATGTGTATTATCTATGGGCTTAGCGTTACTTAGCGAAAACGCCAAAAATGGGTTGGGCATATCACGTGGCATTTCTGTTACTTCGTGAAAACGCAAAACCCGTTTTTGACACGTAGTGTGCAGTCAGTTTGCACGCGAAAGAATGGTATAGTACACTTCGTAAAAACGCATTTTCTGGTTTTTACCCATTAAGTTACAAACGTTAATTAATGTCAATTAATATTTTGACAAAACTAATTAACTCTGTGTGTAGTAACTTCTTAAAAGGTGATAGATTATGTGTCAGTAATCACAAATTAGGAAAAATATCAAAATCGCAAAATATCGATTTTTCGATGTGAAGCCCGGTTCATACTTCATGCAAAAGCGAATGCGAAGCGAAGTTGACGTCATGAAACATTCGCTGCGAAATTCGTCCGAGTTGAAATGTGTTCAACTTTTGCGAATTCGCAACGCGAACACTTGCCATGTCGTCACAAATTCGCGTTCGCTTTCGCTTTCGCGCCAAGTATGAACCGTGCTTTAGTGTCACTTCGTGGTGACGGTGACCAATTGACAGGCGCATAATTGTATGGTGTTTTTTTTCGGAAACAGATTTACGAAAAATTAAAGGAACTGGATGGAAACACTATTCGCTTTTAATCTATATATATAAGAGAGAGTTTAACTCGGCCTCCGAGACGATGTTTGCTCATGAAAGGATCCGAGACAGCGGGCTCCCGCGGCGCCAAAATCGCTCCACGTCCGTGGAAAAATGCGGAGGGTGTCTTCCGCCGGGTCGGACACTTCGGGTCGTCCTGATTTTCCCGTACGGACCGGCGATCCGTTTAGTCGATTTTTCGTGACTGCGTTTTGCGCAGGAATTTGCCATCGTGTGCGCTTTCACGTTGACTGCCTGGCCGCCCCCTGTGCTGGCTTTTTCTGCGTGTCTAGACTGTGCGAGGTCAGCGAGGTCAACGTAGGGGTCGCGTTTACGTGTTCTACTCGGCTGTTTTGCAAAAGAGTTCACCAAACGTTAGTATGGGGTGACCTTGGTAAAATATTTTTTGTCCATGGTGCGTGGCCACCAAGTGTCCCTATTCTTTCATATGCTTCGCTTGCCGCCCCTGTGCCGAGTGCAACGAATACTCAGAAGGACTACACATTAGTATGCCTAGCGCGGTCTGACCAATCGAAAGTCTACACTGCGTGGTACTTCCCGGCTATGCGTAAAACCGTCACTGGCAACGCGTACTGCAGCCTGCTCCACACCCTGGAAACGAGGTTGAGTCTACGGTGCTCGCTATTTGAAGCGCAAGCATGTGACGTCGCGTGATAGAGTGCTGTTGCTTCCATAATGTGTTTACAGCTCCATACTTCCACCACCAAGGCTGAGCGTTGTGAGTTCGCTGCCCGCCACGTATAATTCAGTGTCGTGTTATAATTTCGGGGGCCTGTTTGGGGTCAACGAAGGATCGATGCATTCACAAAAAAAATTGACGAAAAAGTGTCCGACCCGGTGGAAGACACCCACATTTTTCCACGGACGTGGAGCCGTTTTGGTGTACGTGTCGAGGGAGACCGCGGTCTCGGATCCCTTCAGGAGCAAACATTTCTCGGAGGCCGAGTAAAACTTGCTCTTATATAGATGGTTGAACCAACTTCAATAAAAGTTAAATCGACTTTTTCCTCGCAGACGGTCTCGCAAATTGTAAGAAGTTCAAGTTTACGTTTGTTGAAGAGTCCAATACTGAAACTTAATTATGACCTTCGTCCATGATTCAGACCGTTTGTAAATTTATGGTAACACTCAACATTTTCATTTCAAATGACACCTACCTTTACGTTTTATTGCATTATGATTTATTGTCGAAACTGTACAATCAGCATTCGCCTGTGTACTACGGTAACCTTTTCACTGCGTTTTCCAAATGCGACTGCCTCACAAAATGCCAATTTAACAGACCAACGGGAACATTTACAGACAGTTGCCATGGTACATAATTATCATGTGCGTAAATCGACGGGGGACAGGGGGAAACCCCCCCCCCCCTCCCCATTTTAAAGCGGGGGACATTGTTTGGTTCCCCCCCCCTCACTTTTTCTTCCCCGAATAAAAATTGTAGCCTACAACAATGATTCTATTGCTCAGAATACATGTAGCTGATTCAATACGGGCGATTCCCAATAGTGCGCCTCCAATAGTTTGCAACGCGTTGGCCAATCACAATGCGCGAAATCAGTCGACCTTTTCCAAACGCGCATTGGGTCGACAGATTTTGCGCATTGTGATTGGCCAACGCGTTGCAAACTCTTGGAGGCGCACTATTGGGAATCGCCCGTATTACTCCAAACTCAAAACTTTAAAAGTAATCTTTTGCTAAAATTGGTTTTAGTGGTCAGAAATTGCCTCAGATCACAGCACAGAAATTGCTTTTCTATAACTGCATGTCTCCTTAACTATATCCCCATTTACATTTAACTCCCCAAATTTTCATCCCCAACACTACGCCCTACCCGATCTATGATCGGGTAAATCAGCTTGTTGCTAATAAAACAGTTTAGTTGATGTCACATAGTGAAGCAGTCTCAGTAATTAACTTTGAATCCCCTTTAAAAGGTGTAGCCCCACTGATCTTGTAAAAACGTGGATAGCTCATCGACCATTGCGCGCTGTACATGCATGTGCAGCTACGCGCTGGTTCCAAATCTCTCCATTCGGATATGCTACGGGAACCAGTACGAACTCCTCCCATCGTACATTGATAATAAAAATGTGTATAGTCAAACATTAATTTTTAACTATTTAAAATATGACTGCATTTCCCGACTTAAAAAAAAACTTTTTCATTCATATTCATTAAAATTTAACATTCAATTTCGTCCGAGAAAAAAAATCCATACGCTTTTAACAAACCCAATTTAGTCATTTACCATTCAATTTCAAAATGTGGTCACCCTCTTTAAAATAAGTCACAGGGTCGCAAATATTCGTCATTACAGATCTTATTCAGTAAAGTGTTAACAAATGGCAGCATTCAGGGATCGAACTCGTCTTATAAATCATTTAGACGAATTTGATTTCTGAATAACAAGTCTTGGCATAGACGAGACGAAATCAAATACCCAAGTATAGGAAAACGTGTGCTCATTGTTTGCATTTGCTTGAAACGAATTTGAAATTGTCTGACAAAAGATGAAATAAACATGTGAAGTGGACTAAATCGATGTTCATGGACGAATTTGAATAAAAGAAACGGTGAATTCGAATGATAAACGTTTTAAAATAGCCGGGAAAGCCTAACAAAAAAAAGATGAAGAATTTAAGATGTTAAATTATAATAGATTTCTTTGCACGTTTATTGTTATGGGAGTTGTAATATGGTGGCCTGTGACTGCCCTTCTAACAGCTAATGGGTTATCCAGAGTTAGGTAGGCGGGGACATCAAGGAACTTCTGAGACCTCCTGATCGCGTTCCTAGACCCATTTTCGTAAAACTGAATGGTTCTTAAGTCGAGTCTGGTGTGGAGTGCTGAATGGTAACACATTAGCTACCGAAGAAAACTCACGTGCTAGTGCAACGATGTTTCATTGGCTCGACTGAATGCCACACCGCCCTGTGGGCGTGGGAGGTATTACGTCATGGTCAGCTGAACTGAGGCTAAAACCTCTTTTCATTAGCACGTGCTTTTTCGTCGGTTTCTATGTGTTACAATCCAGCACTCCTGACTTAAGAATCATTCAGTTTTAAGTAAATACGTCTGGGAACTAGACTAAGGCAATGTAAAAAATTCTCCCGACGACGGGCAGAGCATACTGTTCGAAACGTTGAGTCCCTCCTGTTCTTTTCAGAACCACACATACTCACAATAGAAATTTATTCACATGGTGTCACTGCAAACTTATCTTGTCTTAGTATTTTTCCACCATGCAAACCTTCAAATCTTAAAAATATCCCCTATTAATGTTTGGTCTCTCACATCATGTACGGTTTGATTGATAATTTCCAAAAATAGCCTTTACAAAAAGCTAGTCTTCGAATTCTACCTATATATTTCCAATATTTAAGTATAACGCATCAGTCACGTAGCTTAATTCAAACGTGAATAAAACGGTGCCGTGCTTGCGATTGGCATTTGTGCTTCATCAAGTTTGACCTTACATTACGTTGACAACAACATCCAAATCAATAGGCCTTGGAGATTGGCACGAAGCGATATAATAGAACGAGCCTCTCTTTTATGAATCCCAAGTGTACAATTAACAACTGATATGAAGAAGCTTCAATAGAGCCCATTCATCGAATCAAACGGCATTTGGCTTCAAAAATCACCACTACAGGTCGCTATTTCCAGCTTTTTAGGAATAAATCTTCAGTGTTTATCTCGGAATCCCTCTTAAAATGTAGGCCGGTCCATGACGTCTGCTCAAGTAACAGGTTGCGCAAAGTACATTGTATACGTTCTTTTAAAGGGGAATACAGAGGTGACGTGGATGTTCATGGCATAATTTTATGGTTTATCTGTTGTCCCAACGTTGTCCTGACAACAGCGTTGTAATCAGCTGGCCTCGGCAATTGACACGACGCGATGTAGTTAATCAAACGAGTCACTCTTTTGAGATAGCACTCCCAAGCGTACAATAGTTACTGAAGAAGCTTCCTTTGTATCTAAAGGCTTCGAGGGAGCTTGGTAGTCAGCGGCATCCTGCAAAACTGTGTTCACACTTCCTTTGCGATATTTTGACATTTGTGAAAACTGAAACAGCGCAAGCTATAAACTACAGACAATTTAATTTTTCATATTTCAAATAACTGCATAAGTGTACAATAAATTGCTCAATGTTATGCTATCTAGTCGAATAAAAATATGATTAACTTTATTTATTGGTCGACAGTGGTGATAGTTATGGTGATTCCAGATACTTCTTATGGTACACACCTTATGTAGATTGTTACACAAATGAATACTGACGGTAGCAGCGATATAAACACACAATTACTTGTATATTCAAGAAATCGTGATTAGACGAAAGTACTTCACGGGCCCTTTAAAAAGCGATTGCGTGGTTTTCATTGTGCACAAATTAAAGTACTGTGCAAAGCAAGCTTCAAATCACAAGTGCATATTCATGATGTGTCGACCGTGACTTTAAATATAAAAATAAAAACACTTCAGTTTTTCCAATGTGGTCTTTTGCGCTAGCTCTGCTTCTTTATGGTGTATCATTCAGGCGAACCAAGCTCCATGTGGTTTGTCAACCACAAATGATTATTTATTGTTTCACCTGGGCCTGATGTAGTCCTCCGTTGGTCTTCCGGACAGCCTCTTATCTCTGCGGTACCACCAAAGGTTGTTATGCTACATACTATATCTGCACGAACCCCGACTTTGTTTCTACAGCCAAGCGCCTTCTTGAGCGCTCCACGATATTGCTTGCTCTTAAATCCATAAATGATCGGGTTCATGCACGAGTTACAGAACGCAAGCAGTACGCTGGCGTGATAATACCAGGCAGAGAAGTCCAGGTTCCAGCCGCACATGTAGGCGAAGAACATGAACTGGTTTGGGGCCCAGCAGACGGCGAAAGTCACCACGACCGTGAGCAGCATCTTGACGACTTTCTTGCGCGCGGTGAGGAGATCCCTTGACAGCTGGTTATCCGTACCATTCGACGACGTTGATTGGCGCATATTCATGGCGCTTTTATGCAAATTACGCATGATCCGCCAATAGGAGAAGCCCATCAGTCTCAGCGGGAAGATGTAAATGACCGAGAAGTTGGCCACGCCCACAAAGGTTCGCCAGGACGTGCTCTGCCACTGGATGATGCATCGGCCGCTGTCGCTGTAAAATATGTAGAAGAAATAACTATTCATGAGCACGGCCATGGCTCATATGCAAATGATCATGCCGATGGCTTTCCGGGGGGTGAAGAGCGCCTCGTAGCGGAAGGGGTGCACGATGCTTGAGTACCTCTCTAAGGTGACGCAGGTCAGAGTGAGCACCGAGGCGATGAAGCTGGTCCAGAGGGGGAACTTGGACAGCAGTAGACGGCACAGCAGGTCGCCTGCAACACCTGGTGGCACGGAAATTGCGAATCCTATGGGGGATAAAAAGAAAAGCAAGTTATAATTCTGATATTAATCTTCAGAATATTATTAATCGAATCGCAAAAATAACCAAAGAGGTTAATAAAGTTAGCTCATATAGGACAAAATTCCTGACTAGGTTTCAGGGAGAAGTGGTCAGTCTCCACATTTTGTGTACCCCTCCCCCACAACCGTACCTCAGCAAATTGGTCTGGCCACGCCCGTGAATCGGTGATTCCTACGCCGCTTGGTGGCACCAAAGTCACCGGCATTCGTTTTACATGTCACCGAAGAGGGCGCTACAAAACGTAGGGATAGCAAGAAGTGATGAATGATAAAACCAAGAAGCCCGTTCGGCCAAGAGTAGTCGCCTTAATAAAATACAGGTAAGGTGAACGTGTTGCAGTAAGGTGCTTTCATTTTGGTGCTAGGCCTGTCGCGATCCTTCAGCCGTGCGTGTTATTTCCCCCGAGCCTCTCTTTCTCCGGGGTCCGCTCATAAGTCCGACGCCTCATAGGTCCGACGCCTCATAAGTCCGACAAAATGGCATCCCCTAACCAAATAAAGGCCCATAAGTCCGACGCCTCATAGGTCCGACGCCTCATAAGTCCGACGCCTCATAGATCTGACGCCTCATAGGTCCGACGCCTCGTAAGTCCGACAAATTAAACGCCTCGTTTTTCTGTTGTCGGACCTATGAGGCGTCGGACTTATGAGGCGTCGGACCTATGAGGCGGAATAAATAAATTTTATGCCTCATAAGTCCGACGCCTCATAAGTCCGAAATTTCGGACTTATGAGGCGTCGGAGTACGGTCGGACCTATGAGGCGTCGGACTTATGATACGGCCCCCTTTCTCCCACGAAAACAAATTGCTTACAGCAGGTGCAGATCCTCCAGGACCGAGTCCGCTTGTGAAGAGGGTATTTGTACAATGTTCTGTAATACAATCATGTACAGTGTTAATTATCGTCTGATTTGTGTGTAGTAAAATGCTTCCCCTTTTGAGTTATTCTCGGTTTTTATTGCACTTCCGGTAACACCGGAAGTGAAGGTCAAGCGGTTTTGTGTCCGGGGACAAGAATTGTTTCTCACAGCATAGTCTACAACCTCACTGAAAAACTAACACGATACTATATTTAGTTCAAAAGATATAGCGCAAACTATTTCGTCAAAATTTTCCCTTAAATCACTTGTAATTTGATACCTGATGACGTCATGATGACGTAACAAACTCTATAGTATCTTCGTAACGTGGTACAAATTCACACTAGGTTTTATGATCATACCGTAAAATGTATGGAAGAAATTTTGCTTTGTTTTGATTTCAAGCTAAAGTCTTCATTTTGAATTCACCTAACTTTAACCTTCCGGTTGACCCCGAAGAAGGGGTCAAGTGAGTTCACGTACACGAAAAGAAATATTTATCAATTCATGGTCTATCTTATTACAGAATATAAACATCACTGATTATTTTGTTCAAGAGTTATGGGTGAAGGTAATTTGACCCTTTTCCAGCTAAAATCGCTTGTAATTTGACACCCGATGACGTCATCATGACGTCAGAGTAATATGCACCACTTCGGATGAGGGTCGATATATAGTGAAAGTTACAAGTTCATACCGTATACCGTTTAGGAGAAAACCCGCGGAGAAGTATTGTCCGGAAAAAAAACAAAGATTGACCAGAACAATAACAGAGAGTGGTCGGGTTGTGCCCGACCACTCAATCAGAACAAAAAGAAAGGCTTTTTTGCAAATTTTGCGAAAAAGCCACAAAAAAAAGGAAAAAAAAAACTTTAACGAAAACAAGAGCTGTTCCCAATTGAAATTGGGAACAGCTAAATATGGTTGGTGACCAACTGGTGCTCGAACCCCAAACCCCGAGATTGATGATGTGATAGTGCCACTCTACCGACTGGGCTATTGGCTCGCAGTTATCAAGCCGGGAATTTATAATATATATATAAACCTCCGGTTGCAAAGGGTGGTGACGTCAAAAGTCACGTGTCGTCGTCAGTCGCCCATCCCCATTCTGAAGAAAAAAACATGAATGTTGTTGGGGACAACCTGGGGCTCGAACCCCCAACCCCGAGATTGATGATCGGAGCGCGCAACTCTACCGACTGGGCAACTGGCTCGCACTTATCAAGCAGGGAATTTATGATATAATATAAACCTCTGGTTGCAAAGGGTGGTGACGTCAAAAGTCACGTGTCGTCGTCAGTCAACCCTCCCCACCCTTTCCGCTCTGACCAAAAATGTTTTTTGTTGACAACCTGGGCATCGAACCCCCAATAGTCCATGGGCTATGGGGGTCCCAGTGCAACCCCCCCCCCCCAGAACCCACCGCCTCTGATATGTTTTATCCTTGGCATGTCCCCAATAGGAAAAAAGATGTTAACAGTAAAAATTTAGGGATGCTCTTTCTCAGGAGGCCAATTATTGGAATTCCCTCTGATTGAGCTCAGAAGGCATTTTCTTAGCACTAGGTTTGGCAGGGGACGAAACAAAATGCCATAACCTGAGCAGACCTCGACCGATCTTAATCAAACTCAGCACATTTTTTCTTTATGAAAAGGTCTTTCAAAAATATCTTTGGTTGCCATGGAAACCAACTATAGAGGGCGCTACGGTCACACGAAATATATATACATGTTTATTTAGAAAAAAAATTCCGAAAAGTTGCTCATCATTAACATTTCAGCTTACTTTTCGTCTTGAAAGCAACCAAATCATAAAACAGAAGTTAAGTTATGATTGTCCAATTTCTGATGAGCTAATTTGAGAGTTAGGTCTTGGCAAATTGAAAATGATATACAGTTTAAATAAGTTAAACAACGTCCTGCTGAATCCAGGTTCTGGTATTCTTAGCCTTTGGGTTGGTAGGTGTCAGGTCCATCTTCCAGATACATGGCCATACCTTTACCAATCTTGGTTAAGCTTGACATGGTATATGTTCATATATTTATCTTTCTAAAAATGCCTTGAATCATCATGGAAACTGTCTACAGAGCCGGACTCTATACCCAGATAAATATAATAATATATATACATTTTTCAATAAGTAGAGATTTTGAGGGTTTTTAGTCTAAGTGGCAGTTAAATAAAAGGAAAATAAAAATACAAACATGGATGTGATCCATTCTAGCCTGTTGGATCCATACTTTTAAACACAAATGGGGTAAAATATTGAAATTACTTAATTGATGGAAGATTTTGTCATCGGAAAACTATGCTTATGTCACTAATCTAAGCATAGATGGGAATATTCTTAGCTCAGCGATGGACGTACGGGAGGTACATTAGTCAACAGAAACACATGCAACTATCAAATAATTATTTTCCCACTGAAGTTGAGCAACTGTTTACATTTTCACTGCTTCGGATGGAGGCTGCCCCAAGAGTAGATAAGTTTTATATCAGCGTGGTTCACCTGTATGTGGTTCATTTTGTATTTAACCCTGAAAGAATCAGTTTAAGATTAAACAAAGAGACGAGACTTTTTTCTTTCTTTTTTAGTTTGTGAGGGTCTTACAAGAACCAGGGAAGGTTGGAGATCAACTTTATGATAGTCTTGGGCAGCTGAGTACACGTAGAAGTAGAAGTGGGGAGGTCACTATAAGGTCACTATAGGTTTGCGTTGGAACATCTTCTCGGTGGATGGTGGGGGGCCTTGCAAAAGGGACGGTATGGGCCAAGTCAAGGATATCCCACACCTTGCAGTTATTATAAAGTCTGCATTTGACAAAGTGGTGCTGCCCTTGTGAGTTTAGAAGATGTGATTGGACTTGTCTTGACAAAGGGAGTTGATGGCTGCACGATCTTGTCTGTAGATTTTGGGATTGGCTGGGCTGTGTTTCCGGAGGGCTCGGTGGATCTGCAGGTGGACCTCGTCAGCGATGGACTTGTAAAGATGACAGAGACTGAGCTTTGTGCACTGGATGATCTCTTTGACTGCGATGATTGGAGGAATGGGGCAAAATTAACCTAATCCCACGACCGTTATCTCTTTAGGAGACAAGAATCTGTGACTTTGCTGTCTTGGGCTGGAGTGCCCCCCCCCCCCGGCAGTGACCGAAAAGTTAACAAATAAGGCAATTTGTCACTTGTGAGAGCCCTTCAGCTCCCCCCCCCACCAAGACAGCCTCAACCCCCCAACCCCCCCCCCCCCCCCCCCAGCAATAACCACTCTGGATCAGCCCTTGTTAATATTTACATGTGTAATGTTGACTAATGTACCGGTACCTCCCATATGTCTATTGCTGAGCTAAGAATATTCCCATCTCTGCTTAGATTAGCGACATCAGCATAGCTTTGCGATGACAAAAATCTTCCATCAATTATTAAAGGTACCTTTAGACCGCGATATACGAAGTTAGTGTCGCGGGGGCTTGCAGGCATAGCTGTTAGACTGACTGCACATAGTGGTACTACTGGCATTGATGCGCTATATCTTGAATTTACTCCGCAACCACTGGGTTTCAAGACCTGTCCTTTTGCCAGCTTGTTGGCCTTATCACCAGCTTCCGAACAAGGTATAGTTTGTGCAGAACTTCCCAGGTTAAGATACCTTTAGACAGCGAATTACGAAGTTCGAGTCGCGGGCGCTTGCAGGCATTGCTGTTAGACTGACTGCACATAGTGGTACTACTGGCATTGATGCGCTATATCTTAAATTTACTCCGCAACCACTGGGTTTCAAGACCTGTCTTTTTGCCAGCTTGTTGGCCTCATCACAAGCTTCTGAACAAGGTATAGTTTGTGCAGAACTTCCAAGGTTAAGATACCTTTAGACCGCGATATACGAAGTTCGTGTCGCGGGCGCTTGCAGGCATTGCTGTTAGACTGACTGCACATAGTGGTACTACTGGCATTGATGCGTTATATCTTAATTTTCTCCACAACCACTAGGTTTCAAGACATGTCCTTTTGCCAGCTTGTTGGCCTCATCACAAGCTTCCGAACAAGGTATAGTTTGTGCAGAACTTCCCAGGTTAAGATACCTTTAGACCGCGATATACGAAGTTCGTGTCGCGGGCGCTTGCAGGAATTGCTGTTAGACTGACTGCACATAGTGGTACTACTGGCATTGATGCGCTATATCTTAAATTTTCTCCGCAACCACTGGGTTTCAAGACCTGTCCTTTTGTCAGCTTATTGGCCTTATCACAAGCTTCTGAACAAGGTCTAGTTTGTGCAGAACTTCCCAGGTTAAGGTACCTTTAGACAGCGATATACGAAGTTCATGTCGCGGGCACTCGCAGGCATTGCTGTTAGACTGACTGCACATAAGGGTACTACTGGCATTGATGCGCTATATCTTGAATTTTCTCCGCAACCACTAGGTTTCAAAAACCTGTCCTTTTGCCAGCTTGTTGGCCTTATCACAAGCTTCCGTACAAGGCATAGTTTGTGCAGAACTTTTACGGTTAAGATACCTTTAGACCGCGATATACGAAGTTCGTGTCGCGGGCGCTTGCAGGCATTGCTGTTAGACTGACTGCACATAGGGGTACTACTGGCATTGATGCGCTATATCTTGTATTTTCTCTGCAATAACTAAGTTTCAATACCTGTCCTTTTGCCAGCTTGTTGGCCTGATCACAAGCTTCCGAACAAGGTATAGTTTGTGCAGAACTTCCCAGGTTAAGGTACCTTTAGACCGCGATATACGAAGTTCGTGTCGCGGGCGCTTGCAGGCATTGCTGTTAGACTGACTGCACATAGTGGTACTACTGGCATTGATGCGCTATATCTTGAATTTTCTCAGCAACCACTCAGTTTCAAGACCTGTCCTTTTGCCAGCTTGTTGACCTTATCACAAGCTTCCGAACAAGGTATAGTTTGTGCAGAACTTCCCAGGATAAGGTACCTTTAGACAGCGATATACGAAGTTCATGTCGCGGGCACTCTCAGGCATTGCTGTTATACTGACTGCACATAGGGGTTCTACTGGCATTGATGCGCTATATCTTAAATTTTCTCCGCAACCACCTGGTATCAAAACTTGTCCTTTTGCCAGCTTGTTGGCCTCATCACAAGCTTTCGAACAAGGTATAGTTTGTGCAGAACTTCTCAGGTTAAGGTACCTTTATACCGCGATAGACAAAGTTCGTGTCGCGGGCGCTTGCAGGCATTGCTGTAAGACTGACTGCACATAGGGGAACTACTGGCATTGATGCGCTATATCTTAAATTTTCTCCGCAATCACTGGGTTTCAAAACCTGTCCTTTTGCCAGCTTGTTGACCTTATCACAAGCTTCTGAACAAGGTATAGTTTGTGCAGAACTTCAAAAGTTAAGGTACCTTTAGACCGCGATACACGAAGTTCGTGTCGCGGGCGCTTGCAGGCATTGCTGTTATACTGACTGCACATAGGGGTACTACTGCCATTGATGCGCTATATCTTAAATTTTCTCAGCAACCCCTGAGTTTCAAGACCTGTTCTTTTGTCAGCATGTTGGCCTTATCACAAGCTTCCGAACAAGGTATAGTTTGTGCAGAACTTCCCAGGTTAAGGTACCTTTAGACCGCGATAGACGAAGTTCGTGTCGCGGGCGCTTGCAGGCATTGCTGTAAGACTGACTGCACATAGGGGTACTACGCGCATTGATGCGCTATATCTTAAATTTTCTCCGCAACCACTAGGTTTTAAGACCTGTCCTTTTGCCAGCTTATTGGCCTCATCACAAGCTTCCGAACAAGGTATAGTTTGTGCAGAACTTCCCAGGTTAAGGTACCTTTAGACCGCGATATACGAAGTTCGTGTCGCGGGCGCTTGCAGGCATTGCTGTTAGACTGACTGCACATAGGGGTACTACTGGCATTGATGCGCTATATCTTGTATTTTCTCCGCAACCACTGGGTTTCAAGATCTGTCCTTTTGCCAGCTTGTTGGCCTCATCACAAGCTTCTGAACAAGGTATAGTTTGTGCAGAACTTCTCAAGTTAAGGTACCTTTAGACCGCGATACACGAAGTTCGTGTCGCGGGCGCTTGCAGGCATTGCTGTTATACTGACTGCACATCGGGGTACTACTGGCATTGATGCGCTATATCTTAAATTATCTCAGCAAATACTGGGTTTCAAGACCTGTCCTTTTGCCAGCTTGTTGGCCTGATCACAAGCTTCCAAACTAGGTATAGTTTGTGCAGAACTTCCCAGGTTAAGTTACCGTTATGCCGCGATATACGAAGTTCGTGTCGCGGGCGCTTGCAGGCATGGCTGTTAGACTGACTGCACATAGGGGTACTACGCGCATTGATGCGCTATATCTTAAATTTTCTCCGCAACCACTGGGTTTCAAGACCTGTCCTTTTGCCAGCTTGTTGGCCTTATCACAAGCTTCCGAACAAGGTATAGTTTGTGCAGAACTTCCCAGGTTAAGGTACCTTTAGACCGCGATATACGAAGTTCGTGTCGCGGGTGCTTGCAGGCATTGCTGTAAGACTGACTGCACATAGGGGTACTACTGGCATTGATGCGCTATATTTTAAATTTTCTCCGCAACCACTTGGTTTCAAGACCTGTCCTTTTGCCAGCTTGTTGGCCTTATCACAAACTTCCGAACAAGGTATAGTTTGTGCAGAACTTCTCAGGCTAAGGTACCTTTAGACCGCGATACACGAAGTTCGTGTCGCTGGCGCTTGTAGGCATTGCTGTTAGACTGACTGCACATAGGGGTACTACTGGCATTGATGCGCTATATCTTAAATTTTCTCAGCAACCACTGAGTTTCAAGACCTGTCCTTTTGTCAGCTTGTTGGCCTTATCACAAGCTTCCGAACAAGGTATAGTTTGTGCAGAAATTCCCAGGTTAAGGTACCTTTAGACCGCGATATACGAAGTTCGTGTCGCGGGCGCTTGCAGGCATTGCTGTAAGACTGACTGCACATAGGGGTACTACTGGCATTGATGCGCTATATCTTAAATTTTCTCAGCAACCACT